AATTTTCTGCTTTTGGAATAGAAAGTTGCTCTGTCGACACATGAGGTAGCAAATGTTTTAAATTGTAGTTTGTTTCTAAATGATAAAATTTTGTAGCGAAAGTTATTCAATTTGAGTAGTTTTTGACTATGTGTTATTGCAATTATCAGTCATAAAATTATTTGTCATTGCTAATTCAAACTAAGCTGTAAAATTCTAAGGTAATCGTGCTTAGAAACGGAAGTCGATTTCTTTAAAACATTTGTTCAAACTTGGATTCGAAGATTTAAGGAATCATTAGATTGCAGGTGCTGACCACTGCAGGTAAGTGTCGTTTATTTGTTTGTTCAATTGATCAGTGCAGGGTGTCAACAGTGTAAAGTGCATTTACTTTCATTAAGTAAAATCAATAATTTTTAAAGGGTTGACTGAATCATGATCTCATGATTTAGTCAGTAGTCCTTGGCGGTTTTACATTCGTGACATATTAGATGAGTAAAAACAAATATTTTCATTGAGCCGTGAACGTATGGAACTATTACAATAGAAGGGATGGATAATTAAAACAAAAATTTAAAAACAGCCCCATTCTAATTTCTTTTCTTTGCTCTTTGTTGTACTGTTTACGGTGTGCTCAATAAAATACATACATAGATACTTCTTCAAAGAATCAAAGACCCATATTAGTTTTTAGGATATAGAATTGTATTTATATAAAATTAATAGTGACTTTTTAAATATATTATTTGCAATATGTAAAATTAATGCTTATTATATATAATAAAGTAATTATTATTACATATTTGGATTACTTATATGAAGCCAATTATCAACAGTTAATATAGCTTAGCGAAGCAAATTATTAGTGAAAATGTGCGCTAAATAAGGTTTTCAGGGAATGCTAGCTCAGATTTCATTTCGTGCATTCCTCTTTTTGATGCAAGTGTTTACACATGTTTTTGTTTTTAGAAAAACTTTGTTGTTTTTTTTAATGCTGCCACCCTTCGGTTTTGTTTTGATGTTTTCATTTCTATGATTCGAATTAAATTATACATCTTAAATGAATTCTGCAATAATAATGCAAAATTTTTTGGACATATTGCACAAGTGGATATTGTAGTAAATTTCTATATGTTTATTGGTTATGTTATATTGATTATAAATATATAAAAATACTTTTGGGGACTACATGGTAATTGTAATGAATCGGTTACTACTTTTATTTTAGTAGTTTTTAATTAAATTGGTTTTTTGTTTTAAACCATATGTGTTACGGTGTGTACTTATGTTTCTAAAAGTTTAAAGTTATAACTTATACATTTTGGTACACATAAAAATCGAGTTTGCGTTTTCTGATGTCATTTTTAAGTTCAAAATATTTAAAAAAAATTTGTAAAAAATCCTGTTCGGTTCGAAAACTATTCTTTTTAAAACGACTTTAGTAATTAATATTATGGAAATGTCGAATATCACTTTTAAATAAATAAACTTATGTACATAAATAAAACATCAGCTATTTGCGGATTCTTATTATTTTATTCTATAAATATATGTAATAATATAAATACCATATATAAACTAAAAATATGTGTGTACAAATTAAAATGATATATTTTTATTTGATATGATAATGTATTTTATTAATATTATAGTATAATATTTTCATTTAGGCACTTGCTCATTTATATTAATGAATTAACGTTCACATTATGATTAGCTTATTTATACAGTTGATAAAACTGTTATAAACTTCATTCAATCATATATCACACAAAAAAATTAAATATATAATATATATATTTAATCATTTCTATACATTTTATTTGTTAATTACATATTTAATTAATAAAAAACAAAGATTTTATTAAATACTTCCTCAGTGTATATGTTTACAGCCCAGCTGTTGTTTGTTTACATTTTACATATAAAACATATGTTAATTTCCCTTGTGGGAAATTTATTTTTAAGGGTTGTGTTCGATTTTATTTGCCTTAAATGAGGTGATTTATTGATAATGAGCTTATTTATATAAAAAGTTTTTGTATGGTAAATTGGTCTCATTAGGGGCTATAATGAGTAAAACACCCTAAATGAGACAGTGTGAGTGTGCTATTATTGTTTTGTCTTAAATTACTATTATATCTAAGATGATGTTTGACTTTTTAATATGTAATCTTAAATTGTTCAAATAATCCGAAATGGAAAATGTTACTAAATTTTTTTTATTAAACTTTATATATTAAATAAATGAACAGTAGATAATCCCATTTTTTATATTGCTTAAAATATTTGATGAAGTATTATAGAGGCAAAAAAATTTTTTTTTTAAATTTTAACATATTTTTCAAAAATGTTGCAAATATACGTACATAAGTACTTATATGTTGTCTTCGGTTATTGTGTTATTTTTATATTGAAGCAATGAAAAGTAAAAAATACTTTCATTAATTAAATCGCTAATCATTGTTTTCAATATTTAAAATTTCCTTTCGAAAACTAAAAATTTGTATTTTAATGTATTTTGGATTTTATAAAAATTTTTTTTTTTTGATTTTGAAAAGTATATTCATATAACATATTATATAATGTTAAAAAAATGCACAATTATATTAAAAAGATTATTCGAATATTTTGATGTGTAATATAAAGAATAATTAATTTTGTGGTAAATTAATATCGTGCTGCATGTACAATATATTTTAAGTTGAGTTATTTTGAATTATTGTAGCAGAATTATTTTATATATGTCATATAACTTATGATATATTCGTTTAATGCTAGTACTGTCTGAAAATCTTTTCTTGAATGTCAAAATGTAAATATTCTATTATTTTATAAAAATATTAAAATTATCAAGTCTGGCAACGCTCCTGGTTTATTGGATAGAGAATAAAAATTGAAGATAATAATTCACTTCGTTTTAGAAATCGAGAAGCTTAGATGTTTCGGGAGCGGTTTGTGCATAATATAATTAAATATAAAGTTGATTGAATTTATTTAATTAATAAACAATACTATAAATAATTCAAGTGACATAAAATATATTCATACATTAAGTGAGGTATGTATTAATATATGAAAGAAATATTTGTTAAAATTAAGTTAAACTTGCGGCAAAAATCAAAATGGCGAGCGAAAACAAATATCGATTTTATTTGCCGAATTGTGTTTCATTTATGTTGAAAATTTTCCGAAATGTTTTGTTTTATTGAAGTAAATTAACGTATTAAGTTTATAAAAATTAGTTTTATTACAGTATAAAAATATTTATTTAATTGCAATTTCCGCCCATTGTGTATAAGAGAATACCGCCCATTTTGACAATGCAAAAGGAAACTGAAAAAAAAAAATTAAAAAACGCAATGCAGTGGAAACGAAAAATGGCAAGGGATCAGGGGATCCTGTTTATGATGTGAAGAATTTATTATATACAATTTTAAAACACCTCCCACCAATTTGTGAGTTGATAGTTTCAGATATATCCTTACGCATTCAAATTAATTACATTGATAAGTTGATAAGAAAAACTGTATTGTTGGGGGGAGAAAAATTTTCAGAGTAAAAAGATTATTTTTTTTTGTATTTTTTTTTTAATTTTTACTAATGCAACAGATTATTATTATATATAAAAACAATTATGCTTTTAATTACATATTGATTTAAATATATATAACGGGTATTATAACTGTAATTAGGGTTGTTTAATTTTAGTTGTTCCATATACAATCTTTATTTTTGGGGTGTTTTCAGATTTCCAAAAATGTGCATTAAAACTCTTCTAGGATTATTTTATGAGATAAATATATCTATGCCATATATATTGATTATTTAGAATTTACCGAATTTACTGACTAATTATTGGTCATCACTGAGGTTGGTTTGTATACTGGGTTTAATGCAAATCTTATTAAAGATCGAACTCCAAAGGTGTAGTATTATTATTTTATGTTTTAAGTGAGTACAAGAAATAACATATTTATTTTTTTATGTACGCATGAAATATCGTAAATACAAAACGAATATTTTGTTCACTAGTGGAAATTCTGTAACCTCCTTAGTATTCACCAAGTAAACGTTTTGTTCGCTAATTGTAAACGAACGTGGTTTGCTTTTTCTATGATCCACAAAACTTACAGTCAGAAGAGAGAGATGAGACGCTTCATACATTCTCAGACGAAGTGTTTACGTGCCGTATTTTAAGCTTTTGAGAATTTTTTTTATGGCTGCATACTTTATAGATCAAAAAAAAAGCAACACATGTTGGCATTTCTTACATGACCAAAATTTTTGTCTAGTGAATGCTAAGGAGGGGTTGTGATTTCTGTAGACGTAATTTTAAATTAGAATTAAAAATATTACTGCATTGTCAGCTGTAATATTGAAAATATTTTACTTAAATAATAATTCTTTTTACCTAATTATCTAACAGAATCCTTTCTGTTTTTCTTACAATTTTAGTTAAACATAATAGAGTAGTGTGCTCAGAAAAGCACCAAGAGTTGGTCCAATTGGATTTTTGTTATAGTTACTTCTACCACATTCCGCAAAGAATTAAAAATGGGTAAACCTCAGTCTGAACGACTGAATAACGATGAGTTTCTTAAGTTGATTCCACATCTTCATGCAGATGAAATCATTAATATCGAAATAAAGTTGAGTGGAATATGGAATCCAATGGTTGCTATTACAAGCAAAAGTCAAAAACCAAATTACTTGATTTGTAATTTGTGCAAACAAAATCTAAATCTTTCTGAATTTAAGAGACATTTACAAAGTACTAATCATATAGCTGCACTTCCAACTGTAGAGCAATTTTTTCATCCTTATTATACGTATGATAAGAGTTCAGAGAAACTGGCAAAGGGTATTGATGTATCGGATGAGGAGTTGAAAGAGGGAATTGATAAAGCAGTTGAAGCTATTAAAAAAATTGATATGAAAAAGTTTGAGAAACAAAAGAGTCTTGCTTTACAGTTATACGAGGAGGAATCAATAAAATTGAAAAGAATTATTACACAGCTTGCGTTAAAAACAGATGCTAAAACTCCCCCTCAAATCTTCGTTGACGTAACACTCTCTTTAACTGAGATGTTGCAATTAGAGTTTAGTGACCAGAAGGATGTTTGGAAAAAAATGTTGATAACATCTACACCAGCGCGTTTAAATGGAAATTACACTTGTGTTATATGTTCCAAAAATTTATCTGGAATTATAACGGTCAATGCCCATTTCAATGGTTACACACATAAAGTGGCACAGTTAGCTACTTTGGGAGTACGCCTTCGACAAAAGAACAATTTAACTAAAAATTGTAGTTACCAATATGAAACTAAGTATTCTGTGCAAGTTAATAAAACCGGAAAAGAGTTCTTTAAAAAGGAAGCGTTGGCAAAAATTAATGAAAGGAGTAACTTCAAAAAAGATGATAAACCCAAAAATGAAAATAATGACGAAAACGAAGGTGGAAAGAAAGATAGATTTCTAGATAGTAATTCAAAGCTCCCAGCTTCATTAGCAGAAAAGGCAAATATCTTAGCAAGATTGGCAAAAACTAATATGCGAGATGATAAGAATGAAAAACATCTTAAAAAAATTGCTGAAGAGGGTTTAATAGGAGTAGAATATGTTGCCAAATATTCAAAATCTGCAAACGCAACACCTATGTATGAGTGTTGTCTCTGTGAAGTTGAGTTTAATGAGGGATGTATGCAGTTTCATCTTAATGGTTATAATCACCGAATGAAATACTGTGAGAAGCATTATCCGGTTACTTTAAATAAGTACAAAGATAAAATTGGTCATTTGAAATATCAGGAATTTATACGTGTAATGACAGAAGTACTTTCAAAGCTCGCTGTAGCTATTGAAAATTATCATGGTCGTGCTGTTCCAATATCTATACCTGAAAGGGAATATATTCAAAATAGGCACGATATAGTTGCTCATTTATATAGTTTGCCCCATGCTTCAGAAAAGAATGGACCGTCTTTTGAAAGGGTTGTTAAACTAAACGATATAGCAACAATTAAACACGCAAAAGCAAAAAGTGTTCCAGCTATTGAAAAGAGAGACCTCTTTGGCAGATTTGCCACTCAACCAACGGGAAAAACATATTTAGATGAACCCTGCTATGCTCCAAACCGTGAAGAAGTTCGTTTTAAATCGTCACGGTCACGTGCTGAGAAACGTCGTCGATCTAGATCTCCAACAGATCGTTCTCCTGAAGGTAAATCTAAGTCATATAGAGTTGACCGCAGTCCAATACGTAGAAATTTTGACCCGAGAGATATTTGGAAAATTTATCGTGAAGAGGTCTCGAAAGCTGCTAGCCAAGTAGAAATTATTTTTAATGAGTATCGAAATTATCCAGAAAGTTATCCTATGTATGATGAGGAATGGAATCGCTTTTGGAAACGCCGTAAGGAAGAACTTACAGCTCAAGGAATCGATCACAGGGGATATAATTTTCAACCAGATTGGGTGTTTTTCTTTAAAGAGCGTTTAGAACAGCTTTTTGGAGAGGCTTTACATAAGTCACAAGTAGAAGTACGAATGCGGTTAAATATACCCCTTGATGCAGAGGAAGACAGTCAGCCAGAAATGATATCAAATCAACCAAAACGATCGTCAGTTTCAAAGGCATTTAATCCTCCTGCTATAATAGCCTATCCACATTTAGGTGTTCAGCAGAAGGAACTTAAATCTCCACAGATGGATACTGAAGAAATTCCTATTAAATCAGTTGAGCCCATAATGGATGACAGGCCAAATGTTATCCATGTATTGCGTCTTATGACAGCACTTGAAGATCATCTGGGTAGTTTAGGTGGTAAAATTATGGATTTACTAACCAAAGCTCTAATATTAGAGAAAAATTGTCCAAATGATGCAGACGAACTTGGAAAAAAAGTTCTAAATGCAGATAATTGTGCACTTTTGGAAACTGCTATGGAAAAGCTTAAAGGAATTTTGTTTGCTGGCTTGCTCGAAAAGAACAAAACGCAGAGTTTTAATAAGGTTATACAATATACTGCAAACCTTCTGGAACATGCTGAAAACATGGGTTGGCGTAAAGCTATGAGTGAGTTTGCCGATAAACCGGAAAATAAGGAACTTCGTAATTTACTTGAAGTTATGCAGAATAAAGGCGCTGATCTAACATCACAAGGACAGAAGTCTTTATCCGATACTTTAATGGCACTTTTGAGAAATCAAAAAAAAGAGAAAAACATTAATGAAGGTTCGGATTCATCTGAGTATGATAATCGTCAACAAGTTGATACCTTAAATATGGGTCGTCCAAATCAAAATGTAAATTCGAATCGAAACTTTGGTTCAGATTTAAATGATCGTTATAAGCCAAATAATCCTTTGCCTAGCCTGATGAGTTTAGATGGTAATAACAGAAATTCTAGTTTACAATCCACATCAACAAACATATATCAGAATAATGATCATCTAGCTTTTAAACAACAAGGACCTAGTGGCAGACCTAATGTTGGAGGTGGAAGTGGTAGGAATGACTATAACAATCCTAATTTTAACAACTCGTCAAACTTCATGGGCAACCCCAATAATCCAATGAATAAAAATTTATATGGAGGCAACATTAATCCCAACAACATGAACAATATGAACAACATGAACAATATGAATAATATGAGTAACATGATGAACATGAGCAGTGGTAATGGAATGGGCACCAACAATAGCAGCAATTCTGGTGGCAGATTTAATTCTGGTAGTTTTGGACCACAAAATATGGGCAATATGCCTAATATGGCTAATATGGGTGTAGCGATGAATAGACCTAATGAATTACAGCGTAATCCGTTTGCTGGTGATGGGCCAGGAAATGTTGGAAGTATTAACTTCTATAAAACAATTCCAAACCAAAATCCAAATCAACAGTGGCCATCTAATAAATCTAATTGGTTACAATATTCAAATAACCGGAGTGGCAAAAATCTATAATTAAGTAAAAGTATTATCAGTCAAAACTAATTAACATTATAATAATGTCCTCATAAAACTGAAAGTTCAAGAAAATTAATAAAAGCTGCCACACGGTAAAAATGTTTATTTATTTTTCTTTTAAAATATAGATCACCTAATCTAGAGTTTTGCGTTACATATATTTTGAATATATATTTTTAAACATTATTTTACATACGATATTGAAATCAAAATCTTACATAAGGATGAAGACGAGGTCAGAGTTATGGCAAAGAAAGAGAATAAAGCGTTTAACCGTGTTTGTGATACTTTTTTACAAATAAATAGCGTTACGGACAACGAAATGCTGCAAAATTAATAAATCCTTATTCATCGTAAAGCGTATATGTTCTATGTGGATATGGCGGTTTTTGCAAATGACAATACAACATAGATCTGTGTTAAAATTTTGTTTATACGAAATAATTATTGCATACGAAGGACTTCTTTTGGTTCTATAAGCGATTGAGTGTACGTCCAAGAGACACTCAACTAAAACGAAATGCTGCTAACAACTCCTGTTGGGATGAACAGGTTACGCCTTCACAGACGTGATTCCAAAGTCAACGTCTACTAATCATTTCATTAAGAACCGTTGCTTAGTCGTAAATAAATCCATTTCCTGCACTTTTGTGGGAATTTCTTTCAGTCTTTCGATTAACAACGCGTATTGAACATCTGTTAAATATTATATTGTAAGTAAGTTCTTAATGTTCAGAGCTTCAGCGATTTCAAACCTAAATACACTAGTCCAGAGTTTTCTCACTCAAAACGTGATACAGATCGGAATAACATATCATGTGTTTTGTAAAATCTGATAACCGTATTTTCCAAAAAAATTATATTGAAGATGCAAATAAATTTTTTATATATTTTGTTTATTTTTATTAAAACAACTGAATATTTGCAGTTTATGCTTTTTAATTCCTTTTTTTAAATTATTTTTTTAATTAATTTTTTTAATTATTTGAAAATATTTTAAAGGAAATATATTAGAGGTACTATCGATTTCGTTATCGAAAATGATTGCAAAGTAATAGCAACAGTGGAAAACGGCAATAACAAGATCAATTTTCGAGCACATGTGTTTTATTGTTTGTTTGAACTCTTCACTAGAGATAGTTAACACTTCTACTATTAAACGGGCCTGAGATGTTAATAACCTTATTTAACACCAGTAGTGGTCCACGGACCGACCACGGGTTCAGAAACCCTGCACTAGACTGAGCGTATTGTAGGAGTATATATATCGTGTGTTGTTTTGATTTTTGTCCATTTTTACGTATTCTGTTATTTAGAATAAGTAGAAAACAGAATTGCGAGTATAGTGCATATTCGTAGTGTGTTTTGGAAGAGTACCTCCCTTTCGTTCTCTTCCATTAAAAAAAGCATAAAAACGCATGACGCTCAATGTAGTGCATATATAAACTTGAATTACTGCTGAGGGATTAGTAGCAATCCTTACTTCTCACTAACTTCTTTCAATTTTTCTCTGACGACTCTGATTCTTCATAATTTTTAAGTCGAGCTTTATGATACAAGATGTATACCTTATAAAAAAGAAAATTCTGTATGGTTGTAATATGGCATGTAAAATTGTTTATAAACATATATTTTTTCATTTCACTTTTAGTTCATAAAAGCAATATTAAAATCAATTTTGCGACGGCAGTCTGAAAATAAGGATAGCAACACATCATAAAGCTATTGTTGTTGGAAAAAGTTGTAATTTCGAACTGGTTTTCAAATTCTTATTAAAAAACCTTTATTTGTAGTTGTACATCTGGCAAGATGGGTGATGAACGACTAACCAAGGCTGACTTTTGCGAATTGATCCCGCATTTAAGTATAGAAGATTTGCTCTTAATTGAATATCGTATCATTGATTGGAAAAAAATGATTACTCTTTTGAATATATCCAAAAAGTTGTACCGATGCAATATATGCATGGTGAAACAATTTGGAGATAAAATTCGTTTGCATATGGATGATAGCAATCATAAAACAAAAATGAAAACTGTTAAACAGTTTTATTTGGAGGGATACACGTACCCTAAAAATCATGATATTAAAGAATTAAAAGTAATGGTAACAAATGTAAGGCCAGAAAATAACAGTAACAAAAATGTAAAGGTAAAAAATCCGGTAAATGTCAATTCCAAAACTCGGCTTAATGAAAAAAGTAACCTTAAAAAAGTTCCAATACAAACTAATATAAATAAAGATTCCGGGGTCTCTGAATCAAATAAAGGAAATACTAATACTGTTGGTAAAACATTGAGCGCAGAAACGGGTAAGGTCACAATGGGAAATACTAAAGATATTAGCAACAAACCATTAGCTGCAAATAATAAAAATGCTTTAAAAGAGAATAGCAATTCACAAACCGTAGATAATAATAAACAATTGTCAACACCTAACAAACAGGGAATGAATTTTATAAAAAATCCATTCACTCAGAAGGAAGACGTTACCATGACTGAAGAGTCAAATGTGACTGTTGTGGAAGATCTGACAGAAGTGATTGTTATTGATGATGATGATAAGTCAACAGATACCGAAAATAATGGCGAAAACACTACACTTTCAGCAAATGATAAAAATGTGGAAACAAATGCAAGTAAGGATTCATCAAGCAAATCGCAAATTGTTGTTAACCCAGCAGCCTTGTTGATTGAGAAATCAACTGAACAAAATAAAAAACAAAACGTGACCAAAAGTAATAACAATAGCAATAATAAACCGAACTATCAAAAAAATATAGTTGTCATACCAACAGTTTGCAAGTCGAAGCAACAACAGAAAAAGCCGAACCCTCAACAAATTAAAGACAAACAAAATTTTGCAGTTAAAACGTTTGGTGGTGTACCGATTAAAAGAGATATATTAGGGTTAATAGGTGTTGAATATGTTATAAAAATTCTTAAACATAAAGCTGATAATTCTCCCAGATATGAATGCAGTCTGTGTGAGATTCGTTTATTTGGTAATGATATGCAAAATCATTTAGCTGGTTACAATCACCGTTTAAAATATATGGAAAAGCATTTTCCAACTGCTCTACGCCATTTTCGCCGATATATAACGAATGTAGAAGAGCATGAAGTATTTAAAGTACTGGCACCTATTCTTCATAAATTGGCATATGCTATTGAAGAACATCATGGGCGAAACTTACCTCACGAATGTTTTGAATGGGAGTATAATTCAGAAAGATCCGAAATACAGACTAAAGTATATTCGTTCAGACATGCCTCTGAACTGATAGGTCCTTCGTTTACACAAGTTGTTGATACCAAAGAAGTCGATAAATTAATTGCTGAAAGGCACAATTACAAGCCGCCAGCATTACTATGTACTCCTGAAAAAAAAATGAATGATATAATACATCGTCCAAACGGTAATATAACAACACAAACAACGTTAATACCGGCAACTAATTTACCAACACTTACTACTTTACCAACACCAACTGCTGCTTTAGCACCTAATCAACCATACAATTATCAACAATATAATTATCCAAATTTTCAACAACCAAATTTTAATTATAGAAATTTCCAACAAAATGACATGCATAACTATAGTTATAATGCCGCACCGGCTCCACCAGTTGACGATAGAACTTATAACCAATTGGTGGACAATTTTTTAAGAGATACTAACCGCGGTCGTCGACCAAACTTAAAGCGCAGTCGTTCAAAATCTCCTTTATATGAAAATAAACGATTAAACTATGGACATGCATATGAAAGTGAACGTCGCAAATCTATTTCGCCATTACGAAAAGATGACATATGGCAAGCGTACCGACATATGGTAGATAGAAAATTAGATGAAATCAATATGTTATATAAGGGTTATACCAAAGATCCTGAAACGCATCCTATGTATAATGAAGAGTGGCAGAAATTTTGGAAACGTCGCAGAGATGAACTTTACGCTGCTGGAATTAATCATCGTTCGTATAATTATCAGCCCGAGTGGATAGCTTATTTTAAAACTCGTATTACTGAACTTTATAATCAGTCCATAGAAGAAGCAAAAGTAGAATGTAGGGAAAGACTTTGTCTACCTATGGCCAATGATACATTAGAAAATCCGAATTACCATATAAATAATAATGTCCAAACATCAACGCAACCAATAAGTAATAATAAACCAAAATTACAGGATAATAACAAGGCCGATCTGAAAAGAAAGGATAGTTATGAAAATTCATATAATTGCGAAGTTGTACCGGTTTTGCGTTTGATGACAGCATTAGAGGAACATTTGGGAAGTTTGGGACCCAAAATTATAGAGCTAATGTCAAAAACATTACAAATAGAAAAAACGAATCCAAAGGAAGTAGACCGTATAATACTTACAGAGGAAAATTGTACAATGCTTCAAACGTGTATGGAAAAGTTTAAAGGCATAGTAATTTCTGGTCTGTTAGAAGGTACAAAAGCTAATGCTTTAAATAAAGCAATAAAAGAAATAAAAATGCTTTTAGAATATGCAGACAAAGAATTTAATAATGATTCAAATGAGTTAGGGTTTGCTGAAGTAAATAAACGTCCTACAGCCCAAGTCCAATTAAGTAATCCAGTCCCAGTGCCAGTTTCAGCTCCAGTAACTGGAATGAAAAGTGCTAATGACCTAGTCGGTAGAAGTAATGCTCAAATGAACACAAAATCTTCCTTCCTTACTGATGCCAATGAAAATGCAACAAATCAAAAAAAATCATCTAATGAAATACGATCTCCAAATCCACAAATACTTGCCGTATTGGAACAATACAATATAAAAGATTTAGCTACAAAATTTGCTGCATCGTTAACAGCTCAAGGAAAAACCAATTTTACACTTGACCAGTTGGAACAACTTTTATCTGTTTATAAATGTATGGAAAAGAAAAAACATGAACAAACAAGTACGACAAGTTCAACTTTAAATTCGGGTTCTTCAGCGGCTCAGAAAGGTGTTGATAACACATTGCTATCTGATACATTAACTAAATTTATAATTCCATTTTCAGCCTCACAAAGGGAGATCGTATCCGAAAGTCAATCTCATTCAAATCGTACGGAGACAATTACTTCAAATTATTCTAACAATAACATTAGTAACCTTTTAGAACAACGTAGCAATGTACCAACAATAAGTAGTGGTCAAAATAATAATAATTATTCAAATGTCAGTAATTTTTCCAGACTTTCAAGTGCAAACTATAATTCAAACGTATCTCAAAACGATCGCCGAAATAATGTTGGTACTAATAATGATAATATTAGAAGTATAAATTCTACGGGTGTTCAAAATACAATGGGTATACAAAATGCGATGGGTGTTCAAAATACAATAGGTGTTCAAAATACAATTGGTGTTCAAAATACTATGAATTCAACAAATTTAACAGTAGGAAGGAATATGAATATGAATGCCAGTCAAAATTACACAGGTACTATGACCAACAACAATAGCAATATGTGGAAAACTGCCCAAAATAGCAACCGGACAGGTAATTTTAACAACTCTAATAACAGCGCTGGCACCCACGTTTGGAGTGCAGGTGGAACAAACTGGACTGGTTATAACAGTGGAAACAGTATTGTCAATCAACAACAAAATCGAGACACTGGTTCAACACAGTTGCAAACGCAGCAATGGTCCACAAGTCAAAATCAAGTTAATCAATCTCAATCGATTCAGTCTAATCGACCCTTTCAATCTTATTCTGCTTCTGTAAATCAAAATCAGGAACAAAATCGCAACGATTGGCTAACTAAATCAACATCTGCTTCTGCATCAACATTTTCATCTAATAGAGACAGAGGACGTAATGCACAGATTTGGGAGAAATCCAATCAAACATCTAATCGAGGTTTTGTTGGTACTCAACTTAAAGGACAGAACCGGAAAAGATTTTAATTATAATATTACTAGTTTTAATTACATAGTCTACTTAAATTTTTAAAATATTTTGTCAATATTAGATACGCCAAGCCGGCAATGTTAGCCTGGTAAAGAAATATAGATCTAATATAACAATGTAATAATTACATGAATGCCATTGTTTTGAATAAAATTATATTAAAATATTTTCTACAATTATGAAATATGAATTCGTAACTTTATCAAACAAAACTTATTTTTAAGTTTTATTCTTTAATAGTGTACTTAAGGTACATAATAACGCCAACTAATTATCTAAAGTTATTATATGTAAATTGGATTAATGTATATTTTAACTTTAAATCAATTATTTACATCGTTCTTATTAATTATAGATAAATTTGTGAAGAAATGAATGATTTATTTGTAGTAAATTTAAATTTAATGAATCTTGTTGAATCTTGTCAAATTATATAGTGGATATATAACTATATAGATTTAAGTTGTGTGCAATATAATGTTGTATGTAACATGCACACCTTATATATTATGTATGTACTTTGAAAGAACAAACAATAAATCTACTCATGGTATAAAATCGCAATTGTTTATAATAATCTTTTGGAATATATATTATTGTAAATTTTAATAAAAAGGTAAGTAAAAAAATAGTTGTAATTAAGTTAATTTTAAATTTAAGATATTTATATTAAGAACTAAACGTTTAAGTTTTTTAGTTTTTTAGTTTATTGTTTAATGGCATAATTTGTTGGATGTATTAAGAGTGATTACTATATATTGTATAAGTTAGCAAAATATCTGTTTCAAGGTTTCAAAACGAAACTAGAATTCAAGTGATTAATAAAATAAAACAAAAAACCTGAAAGCTTAACTGATATCTACTGGGTTGTTCAATAGGCGCAAGGAACAAAAATGAAGACACCAATTTAAAAGTTAGACCGATTCGAATAGCAAAGAAAGGCAAAGACAAAATTTTTTTTATTTAATTTATTGAAATTTGGCTGACCATACAACGCTATTTCGAGTATTGCCAAGTACTCTTCATCAGTGGTCTTTGGAAATAATCGAATTTTATTTAATTAGTTTATAGTCCGTATATAATTTGTTTGGACTGCAAGTGCCAGGCTTAGAACTCGTGCCTGTCAAATTAGTTCTAGTTCTTAGTTTTAGTTCTAAAATTATTTTGTTTAGTGTAATTTACTACAATACTATGTTTATTGATAAATACTCGGCCTAAATAATAAAAATGCATTTTTCTTGATACATTATGCTTCAATATGCTTCAATAGAGTCCCCTTTTAGCTCAACAGTATTTATCAAGTTCTCCAAAATATATCTCGCTTTCATATTCCATCTTTTCAAGTTTGGTAACAGATAATAGTAACAGAAATCTGGAGTATAAGCTAGGTTTGGACGACCTTCGTATTGTAATTCATTTCATTTTGTCATGGTTTTCATTCAGCTGTGAGCGGGTGTGTTATTCTGCAGAAACAAAACTTTTTTCTTCGACAAATTTGTTCGTTTGTATTAATTTCCTCAATCAATCGATCCAATAATATCTATTAGAAGTCTGATGTTATTGTTTTTCATTTTTCCAAACTATGAAAATTATTCCACTTGAATCCCAAGATACGGAAGCCAAATTTTTTCCAGCCGATTATTTGGGAGCACTACCTATTCCTGGGCTCTAACCGTTCTTGTTGTTTTCCCGCAAGAGTGATGTGTAATGGATTTATGTTTCATCAATTGTCTTTACTCGATGCTCACAGTCAGCTAGATTATACATAAACATTTCCAAACAATGTTTTGAATGACGAAATCGTTATCGTTTTTGTCGTTCTTGTTTGTATTCGGTATCATGATGATAAACCCAAGTCTCATATATAGTAAAGGAAAGGATTCTAAAATGTGATATATATTACTTACTGTGTCTACTGAAACCCCTAGAGTTTCTACTAAATCTTTCTCAGCCAATCGGCCTATTCTTTTCAAAACTGTATTTCTTGTTTTTGACATTGATTTAGTTTTAGTATGTCCTTTATGTAGACCGTCTTCAAGGCTTGTATGAACACATATATAATTTTAGTATAAACTTTGATTGCTTTAAACTCTGCAAAAAATTTTATCACTGTACCATATCTATTGTTAAAAAATAACTTCCACTTATAGAATGAAATTACAGATTCTAAATGAAATGTTGGCTGTGATGTTTTAGTTATACAATTTATTAATAGATGGCGCTCTGTGATCTTACCTAGAACAACCTAGTATTTTTACAAAAATTAAAATAGAACTCATTTATATCTTAGAGTTAAGTCTTTAATAAATAAGTTAATGTATGAGTAATTAATATATGTATTATTTTTTCGATATTTAACAGAAAGTGTAAAAAAAATATGAACTTAAGTTTGTTATGTTGTGATGTGATAATTTTTTGAGAACTGTGTTTTTGTTTTATTGTGTTCGAAATACAAGGTAGTATTAGTTTGTTTGGAAAGTAACATCGTTAAATTTTTTGATGAAAACTCAAGGTTTTCATATAATGCGTAAAAATACTTTATTGGATAATTTTTTGGTTTTGTTTCTGGTTGTCATCGACTAGATAATGGTACTAGGCAAACAAAACTTTTTGTATTTACTTTTTTGATTGTTTAAATATTTTTTTAGAACCTGGAACTGATGCCAATGCGAAGGTGCCAGATTTGGAAAATATAATGGGCCTTCGTCGAACAATCTTTTGACTAGAAACACTTGATATATTACTTGTCAATATATGTGTAATTACAATGTGATGTTGAATGGGAATATATGTATTTGTCTTCTGTGGGAAAAAACGAAATTACTTTCCGAACAACCTAATAGATACTATTATTTTTTATTTTTGGTGTTCATTTAATAATTGTGTTAAACTTGTTTATTACCCTATGTAATCTTAACTAATATCCAACAGTGGTACTTTTGGATGCTATAATAAGATACCAACTTCCAACTTAAAAAAGATGTGCCAGTGTTTTGAGGTACTGGCTATGATACCTTACGTACATCAGCATATATGTACAAGTTAATGCTAACTAAAGCATACATATACCTATACACTTATAGAATAATATTTATATAGTATATAGTTTTTAGATTATTAATTTCTTTGTTTGTGTTTGGTGCTTTGTAATTTATATATTATATTTTATATATAGAGATATACAAAATTACTTTTAAACGTATACAAAGCTATGTATATAACACACACCAAATTATGTGATATATATGTCTATCAAAATATCTTGTAGTTGCGACATGCATGATGATGATGTATGGTAAATAATATCAATGCCAAATCGCATTAGCTCACTTGTCTCTTGAAAGTGAACCAACCCATTCTGATAACACAGTTTTTTTTTTTTTGGCACGCATTGTCGTTTTTAAGATAACAGATAAATGTTTTAAATGTCAATAAAATTTTTAATTAAATTAAATAATAATTGAATAATTAAATTAAATAATAATTGAATAATTAAATTAAATTAAATTTATAATCTTTATATATATACAACAAATGTACACAGGCATTTGGTTTACCATGATAGCAAATTTTGGTGGTAATAATAATGAATATACCAAATCTGATACTATAGGATTGTGTCGTTCGCATAACTACCGCTTTTATTTCTTCCTGTTTGGGTCTAAGGACGTGTGCGAGTTAGGCTAAGTTGCGTTCTAAATAATGGAAATTCTAAGATGAGCCGATAATGTAGTGATGTGTCGATACGTGTTGATAAATGGCTAAATGTGTGCAGTGCAAAAAATCCCAAAAAATCTCCCATTTGGTTTAGCATCAACTTAGCCTAACTCGCACACGACCTAAGTAGTGATCACTCAGAAAAAAGAAAATATCAGTTTTCTATGACCAACTCTTTTAGTGTAATCTCCTTTGCATTAATTGTTCATCTCCGATCCATAATTGTAATCTAGCACTACATTTATCCTCAGATATCAGCTTTCCACCTACTACAAAAGCAAAAAAAAAGAAAAAAAATTCCCGAGTTATCAGTACGCTGTAAGTCCACATCATTGATAGTATTGAAAGCCCCTTCTATGTCTAGGACGACAGTCATTGTTTATACAATTGAGATTTCTTGATTGTGATATGTTAATTGCCTCGTGTAAGGCCGTTCTGTGAATTGGATTTAATGGGTGCTTATGAGCTCTGAAAGGGATTGAGTTAAAATTAAGTAGGTTACAGTCACCTTAAGGTCCAGATAAAAGCAGGAATGAAGTTTTGATAGCAATTTTGCTTTCAACATTTTGGTAAATCAAATTACGCAAAAAGCATGAAGACCCGTCCTTTAAACAACAATTTCTTAAAATGTGGATTAGCGTTATTTTGCTGTACAACAATTACGAAGAAGATGGGGATCGTTTATTTTGTTTATCACGAATTTTACTCAGTAAATAAAACAAAAGTAGAACGGAATTGTAATAAAATGAAATATGTTAACTAAAACTGACATTAGTACACAGTAGAAAGTATCTTCATTGAATTCTATTTGTAATTTGTCTAAAACCTGTATGATAGATAGACAATCCTATAGCAGTTCCCTTTTACTACTCACTTGATTAATTTAAATTTATTCAGAAGAGTTTTATGAATTCCATGTGTGCAAACATCATGAAAGTGGCAATATTGTCACGCCATGTATCGTCGTTCCTAATAAATTACAATGCCAAGTGATTGCTTACGGTCCTTTAAGTGGGACTATTAAAAATTGATAAATGTTATTATATATTGAATATCTTTTGAAACAAATGTCACGTTTGGTGCTCATACTTAAATGTAAATTTAATATGCAATATATAATGCTCTTCATTCATGCACATGCTTGAAAACGAATAAAATAAGTTTGTCGAGAAGTTTGTAACGCAATGAGGGAAACCTCGGGTACACCTTATATACTTGATATGTTTGGCAAAACGAACTCATATAGTGTTATGTTTGTCTGACTGTTTCTTAGATTTTTTGGAAAAATTGTATCTGGAACATGTTTTGAACTGACCATATCCCATATCTGCATAGTATTTATTTATAGGTGATCAAAAATAGCAAAGCACTTATGATTCTTATATATATCATATATAATAATTGTTTCTTCAGTGGTAAAATGCAGGCTTATAAAGACATTTTCTGAAGTATATTAATT